GTTCTGTATGTTGTATACTGAGTGAAATGCAGCAAAATAAACTATTTCAAAAGTGACAGATCTTCATAATACTTGGTTTATTTATAATGACTTTAGTTGCTGGATGTTTGGCCCCTCAGCAGTTGGCCTGCAGCAACTGTGGCCCCCGGAGCAGTTTAGTTGAATAGCCCTGCTGTAAAGTAACAGTTTTAGGGCAGCTCTTATTGCCAGATAAGATACATTTCTTGTTTTTAGTGTTTTTATCTACTTTAATAAAATTCTTACTGAGAATCAAACGTTCATACAAGAAGTATGAGGCCATCTTTAGACTGACCGTTTTACCTATTGGTGTTTCAGTACCATTATCAGTATCGAGCTCGATACCAGCATTTTACAAGTACTCATACTCGTACAAAATGCCCAATACACAAAACCAATACCAGTACTGATTGTATTGATAACCCGTTGAATGTGTTACAGTTTTAGTCTGTCAGCGCCATGCTTAAAAAACTTTACAAGTTGAATGAAAATCTTTGCTTTTTATTTGCAACAGTGTTGGATTTGATTCAGTCAGAGGGGCTGTAGGTCTACAAGGAAGTAGAACCACATATTGTTCCAAATAAAGGTTTTTAAGTCATTGTATCATTTCTAAGTTCTAACTCAGTAAGTACTCAATATTAGGACACCTAATAGTAACATAAAAAAATGTGAAATTTGAATTAGGCACTAAGAAAATTGCAACTGAACAATAAGAGAGTCTGGAGAGGTAGAGGTTGACTCCAGGGAAGAGAACAATAAAAGTCAGGAATGGCCAATAAAAGAAGAATAAAAAAGCATGAGTTCAGATTTTCTTGTTACAGGTGGTTCTTCTGATGACCCCTACCTGTCTGCTGACGAGGACCCTGCCGAGGGCCCTGGGTTTGAGAAGCCTCTCGAGGACACTACTGCGCCATGTGGCTCTGCGGTCACACTAACATGCATCATCACCGGTAGCCCAGCTCCTACAGGTAAAAACAACAACAACAAAACCTTTAAGAGGGGTTTTACTCTACGACGGTGTATTAGGGCCACTTTGCAGATGAAAAGAAAAGGAGGAGCAAATCTCTGAGAAAAAAGCTCAGAATTTCTGAGATTAATTTCAGAAATTTTCGAGAAAAAAAAACAGGAAATTCTCTTATTTTGAAAAGTCGCAAATTTGCTAGAAAAAAAACTCAGAAATTTCCATATAATTAAAGGCAGAAATTCGCAACATTTAAACTAGATATTTTCTGACATGGTAAAGTCAGAAATTTACAAGAAAAAAACTTGTAAATTTATGAGAAAACTCTGAAGTTTTAAGGAATGGCTAAAGGGCGATTCCACCTGTTTTAATCTACTCTAGCTTAAAAACTAAAACTAATGGAGACTTCAAACCTGGACTAGATTATTCTACACTGATTGCATAATGTTTAAAACCAAGTGTGTGATTTGGGAACATATATTTGATATGTGAAGCTTAAGGGCATAACTGTGGATGGTGGACCGATGGAGAGGTGAGAGAATTAGAGTGACTGAATCAATCATCCAAAATGATCATGGAGCCTACAGAGAAAAACAATTTTCACAATTCTATGCAGCCACGCAATATCACCGTCAGTTTCCCCAACTTGTGGTGACATGTCCTGTTTCGGTAACCGGACATTTCAAAATAAAAGTCTATGAATGTTTTGAAATCTTTTTCTTTTTCTGTTACGCACATTGCGATGTTTGTGTCTATGAAAACGACTTTTTAAATAAAGTTTTACTGACTTAGGCCTACTTATTGCTTCAGTCACTCACACCAAACGCGTTTTGAGCGTCGGGGGAGTCAGGTTTACAAGCAAAGTCTATGGTGGACCGTGGACGTGCGGATCAGCAGCTCGTCAGTGCGCAGCTCCTAGTGAAACTCACTTATCTGATAAATTAATTATGAATTAATTTTTCTGGTTAGCGTGATGTGCTCTTGCTCTCAGTAAATAAAGCAAAGCCACTTTATTTCATCTGCCATACACCTGCAGAGGAGGAGGCTCTGGATGCGCATCAAGAGCAGTTTTGAAGAGCGTCTGTCTGACATCAAAGTGCACAAGAGTTCAACTTGAAGGGTTTTGTGTTTTTGTGTGTGAAGTTGATCACAGCATAATTTCTCTCCATCGGGCCATGCTTGTTTATAAAATACATAAAAAGTGCTGAAATCGCACTATTTCCTTAAGCTTCACATATCAAATACAGTATATGTTTCCCAAATCACACACTTCGTTTTAAACATTCTGCAATCAGTGTAGAATAATCTAGTCCAGGTTTAAAGTCTCCATGTGTTTTAGTTTTTAAGCTGGAGCGGATTAAAGATGCTCAAGGTAGTGAAAATATGTGAAATAGCCCTTTAGCCATTCCTTAAATTTTCAGGTTTTTTTCTCATAAATTTATGAGCTTTTTCTTGTAAATTTCTGACTTTACCATGTCAGAAAATATCTAGTTTAAATGTTGCAAATTTCTGCCTTTAATTATGGAAATTTCTGAGTTTTTTTCTTGCAAATTTGCGACTTTTCAAAATAAGAGAATTTCCTGTTTTTTTTCTCTCGAAAATTTCTGAAATTAATTTCAGAATTTCTGAGTTTTTTTTCTCAGAGATTTGCTCCTCCTTTTTTTCCCCCTCGGCAAAGTGGCCCTAATACGCCGTCGTACTTACTCTGCATTTTAAATTGCTTAAGAAAACAGGCCATTACTTGGAGTCTTTCTGTGCAAAGTACTGTGAAAAGTTATTTCTCGGATCAGAAAGCACAGCAAGACTATGAATATTCATGAAAATCTGGGTATAAAATCTGGAAAACAAAGCGCGTCATTCATTACATTCTTTCTGAAGCGCACCGTACTGTACCGAGCCCCTGCTGTGGGAGTTGAAATGTGCTGCCTCTGCCTTCTCAGTGACATGGAGGAAGAATAATGTGGAGCTGCGGAGCGATGCTTTCTACGCCGTTAAATCCGAGGGCGAGAAGCACAGCCTGGTGATCAGGGAGATGAGGCCGCACAACGCGGGGTCGTACTGCGTCACAGCTGTCAACGCGGCGGGCAGCGCATCCTGCAGCGCCACCCTCTACGTCCTGTCAGGTGAGAGCGGGCCAGACATGGACAGAAACAAGGTTTGGTGTTATCTCGTTCCAAAGTTTCTCCAATTTAAACAGGTTTATTCTGATACGAACTCTTTAAAGATATTGCAAATAAAAAAATTACACATTAAAAATGTATTTCTAATTTCATCAAATGGTGCAGTTTGAAAAAGTTTACTCCAGTAGTTTCCCAGATTCATCTGAAATGCAGGTATGTACTCAATGTGAACAAAGCTGAAACCTTCAAAAACCAAAGTTTGTGTTGTGATGCCTACATTAATCTGGTTTGGTAGTAGTGCTTGATACTTTCAAATGTGATATGGTAAATGGTAAATGGACTGTACTTATATAGCGCCTTTCTATCAATTCAGGACACTCAAAGCGCTTCACACTGCAGACATTCACCCATGCACACACACATTCACACACTGACGATGGCAAACTACAATTGTAGCCACAGCTGCCCTGGGGCACACTGACAGAGGCGAGGCTGCCATACACAGGCGCCACCGGACCCTCTGACCACCATCAGTAGGCAAGGCGGGTAAGGTGTCTTGCCCAAAGACACAATGACAGAGTCGACTGGACGGGGATCGAACCGGCGACCTTATATAAATTCAGTCATAAGTAAACAGAGGACTATTGTCACCGATATTGATCTGATACAAAATACAAACAGCCCAAACTCATGCAAACAAACCCCATCTCGATGGGATTTACCCATTTAAATACAGTTAAATAAAGTACTTTAACCAAAAAGGGCAGCCTTTACATTTTAACATAAAGAAGAGCCAGTGGTGTGCAGAACTAACCAAAATGTTAGCATCACAAACCTCTAAACCGCTACACAAATTACTTAGCTCTACTAACCTTAAAGGGGCAATATTATGTGTTTCTCAGGCATACATTTAAATACTATACCATAATAAAGTATCTATGTCACCTTTAGTTGTTATTAAAATGCTGTTTTTATGTTTAAATAGAAAATAAACTTATCTTCTCATCACTTCCTCTTCTAAACACCTTGAAATTGGCCTCTGTCTCTTTAAGAACCTCCTTCCGCTTCTGTCTCGCCCATTTCAGTGTGTGTGTGTGTGGGGGGGGGGGGTGTCATGCTCGCGTGGGGAGTGGGTGCGCTATGATGCAGTTTACTTGGCATCTGAAAATACATTTCCTTAAAGGTATTTTTAATCTGAAAAGAGCTAGAAGTAGTGGAGCTCAGCAGACAGTTAGGTTTCACTTTCAGTTTCACCCGACAGCCTGCAGGAGTCATGGACGGGGTGTGGGGGGTGGGGAGTTGTGCTCTGTGGTGAGGAAGTTCAGCTTAAAGACACGTCCCAGGGGTGTTTCTGGTACCAAAAGGCGTTTCTGGTCTCCACCTGTTGTTTTGCTCCTCAGCATGGCTTCCTAAAAACGCTGCAGGATTTCTCAAACATGCATGAATGAGTCAGAGCAAGGCTTTGGGCATGTTTTTATGAGATTATAACATTATAACACGATATAAAACTCAAAAAAGTTGATTTTACATTATATTGCCCCTTTAAGATGCTACACAGACAAAAAAATTGACTGAACCTGTAAATTTTAACATATTAACATCAATATTTTTGTGCATATTTAGATTGTTGTGCGACATATTCAAAAGACATTAGTAGAATAAAAAATAAATGGTGTTCATTTTACTGGGAGTCGAGTCCGTTAATTATTTATAAAATTAGCACAAGTGCTAATGGACTGTGTGGTTAAATAGATGTATAAAGAAACTGAACAAGGGAAGAACCAAGAAAAAGACGTTGTGGTGGAAATGAAGAGTGAATCTGTTGCTTACTGCAAAAGAAAAGACAAACATGAAGACAGCTATCAACAATAAAATCTTAAAGTGCCTGTAAAATAAAATGTTTGTAATATATATGAAAACATTTTTGGAAAGGTAACATTATTGACATATTGCAAAACAAGGTTCATGCAGCTGAGATGAACAGTTAAGATATTTACGTCTCACTTCTAACAGGAAGTGATGTCAAAGGTGAATGTCTGCATGTGAACAACAGAGCATTGCTACAATAACAACACAGACTGTAGAGAAGAATCAGATGTTCCTATAGATTATTTTTGAATCACTATCAGAGAAATGAAGAAGAGTTGGAGTTCAAGTATTATCGTTTCGATAAACAAAGACCAGAGAGTTCCATTTCTTAAAAAAGTTCTTTGATGTCACTTCCTGTTTCGTTTTGTCTGAGCCAAGTTCAAAAGAAAATATGCATGTTAAGTGACAAAATGGGTAAAATCATGTGTATTATGTCAAGTTTCTTTAATGTAGAGGTGTTTTCTTTGACTTTACTGGATATGCACGACACAGGCACTTTAAGGATCAACCAGGGTGGTGGAGGGCAGGCTTGTCACGATAGACAATAAATCAAACAATCGCAAGATAAATGAAAATGAGGCAGATAAAATAAAATTAGGTCGACAATTTTCATTTGCCTGCGTGTGTATTTTCTTTGTGCCTCCCTTTGTTCTTCTTAGCATAGATAGGAGTGAACTCTCATGTCAGTTAGCATGTAGCATGCTAACTCTGTAGCATGAAAACCCCATGCAGCAGGCATTCAGGTAAAGGAACGTCTTCAGTTTTTCAATGCCATCTTTCAGCAGGCGACTCCTCAGGACACTGTGTGTTGTATTCACAAATCTTAGTCAAATTTCATAAACTTCCATAAGCTTTGTAAGCGTGTGTGTGTGAGGAGTGTTATTATGTTAGCTACATTAGTTTGAAATGGTCTCCACAATCATTTCTATGATAAGTTATAGTTCAGCAAAATGTATTATTGTGACAGGCCTATAGAAGGTCATAAAGACAGAGCTCAGCATTCAAACCCACAAAACTTTAAGCTTCTTGTTTCAACCCAACTTATTCATATCCGAATAAGAGTACGTATTAGACATGTCACATCGAACGAGAATTAAATCAGATTTGGTCAAAATAAATTAACTTCCTGGTTTTATCAACTACATTTTAATACTTAGATCAACCTGAAATGAGTGGTTTCTGAGATGTTAGCTTGATTTATTTTGCTAATTGAGATAACCGCTGGACATTTGGTCAGAATCCTATTTTGAGGAATTTCTAATTAGGATTTACTCATGTTATTTCACAAAAAAAAAAACCTAAACCATACTTTTTGACAATGGTATTTCCCAGCTGTAAAGATAAAGAAAAATATCATAAATGAGTCCCGTCAGGCATTATATTTGGACAAAATGCAATCATCACAATTTTTTTAACTAATCCACTAAAGCTGCCTCTGTTTCTACATACCACTTTGTGACTTAATCCCCCCGCTCGATGTGATGGGTCACAATTATGTACAAGACATGTTAAACTTGTCAAACTTCTCGGTTAACCCCCACACAGAAAAATTTGTCCCACAGTGGTCCAATCATAGACCAGCACCACATAAATCAAACCCCAACTGGGCCAGCTGTGGCACGTCATCTTAAAAACAGAGCCATCATTACAGACCTGACCCACATCTGGCTGACAAACCACTTGCCATGCCAGCAGTGCCAGCCTGACACCAGACCTGGCCCACACCTGTCTGCTACAGCGGGTAAAATAAGTATTGAACACGTCAACATTTTTCTCAGTAAATATATT